CAACAAGGAACTCTTGATTACAAGCCGGATCCTACAGCGGCTGCAACAGCATTACATGCTGCCTGTTTTAATAATAACTTGGATATTGTTAAATATTTGATTAGCAAAGGAGCAAACTATTTTATAAGAAATCAGCTCGGTGAAACACCCATTCAGAATAGTATAGGTCATCAAGCAATACATGACTTCTTTAAGGATTATCTCGTATCTACATACACTAACTTATCATATGCTTCTTTACCAAATGAAACTATTCTAGAGTGTTATGATCGAAGACCAACCAACTGTATTTGGGAATATAAACCAGTAAAAGAATTTGAATGGGAAGAATTTACCATTACCGAGCATAGTACTTTATGTGCTGCTTTAATACCTGGTGCAAACAACCAATCGTTTAATACAACAACTTACTTAAGTGCTCGACAAAGTACATACAGTGTACAACTATTGACATTTCTTCGTGGAAGTAAAAATCAAGAACCAAATCCATCAAACAAAGATGGTTTAGCATGGATTCGATGTCGCGGATCGAGTATAGCTAATTTTGATATTCATTGTGTTTGGCAATTGATGTTTGTCAAATATAATACAAAAAAACAATCTCAGGCAGCATCATTGGAACCTCCATCGTTGGATGCAAAAACTTTTCCATCTGTGTACGACAGCAAATTTCAAATAAAATTGAATAGCTGGTACACATGTGATTCGAAAAGAAATGCTGTATTGGACGATACAATGAATTATAGACGACGATATGTCGATATAGATTGTAATTTGATATTAATTATAATGAAAATACAACTGTTAAATGCAATCTATATACATTTACATTTACCAATAGAGATAAAACAATATTAGGTTTTATTCGATGGATACCTAAACTTATTGCAAATACACCTAATGATCAAAATAGCATCAAGATATTGGATAATTTTAAGATGATCAATAATTTTAATCCAATACCTTTGACAACAAAACGATTGGAACAATATAACGGATCGAAATCAACGATGGTAGGAAGCATGACTACAACTGAAGATAATGAAAATGAAGAAATCAATCCGATGACTGATTTACGAATAACTATAAAGGGAGTGGATGATGATGATGATGATGACAATAGTGCATATTCGACTTCTTCGATTACTAATCTTGATACTTGGAGCATTACTGACCTTCTGAGCACTGATTTTCAATCAACATGTGAACACCATAAGAATCGAGGTTAGTTGTTGTTTTCTATAACTTTATGAAACATGATTTTCAAAGAGTGTTGAAGGTGTATAGGGTAGAAATTTTGACCGCCATCCACCTCCGCAGGATGTGACTGACATGTAGCCCTCCGTCACAGGGCGTGACAGACAATTTTCAGACTCATCACAGGCCGTGACTTATGGCCTCCAGAGACCATTTCAGACTGTTATACATGTTTTTGATACACTATTAACGATCATGTATCACTAAAATCTCATCAGAGTATATAGGATGTCCAGAAAGTCATGAAACAAAAGTTTTTTCGTGTATCTTTGCTATTTCGTTTAATATTGTCAACAATTTTTTTTCAAATTATAGGCGAATATACTGATTTTTTATATGTCCGAGGAAGCTTCCATACTACTATGCAAAACTATCATCTTGAGTCGAAACACAAAAATTTTGCTTTCTTTGTAATTCGAGGAAATACACTATATAGTGTTTTTTTCTTTGATAATTTCAACTGCCTGTAGTAGTTTTCTGTAAATTTTGCTTCAAAGAAAAGGTTTAAATAATTTTCAATATACATATTCTTATAGAGCTCGTCGAGCTCTATCTAGCTATATGAAAATATCAAAGAAGAAACCTTAGTTGATTTTTGAATTACTCGCATCTCGCAACGAAAGCAAAATTTTTGTATTTCCAAGGATGGTGACAGTTTTGCACTGTAGGTGGGAAGGTCGTTTGGATAAATGAAAACTCGTTATATTCACCTACGGTTTAAAAAGAAATTTGTTGATAAAGTTGAATGAAGTAGCAAAGATAGACGAAAAAACTTTTGTTCAATGACTTTTTGGACAACCTACATAAAGTGCTTCCTTATTGCACACACTCAGTTTAAATGCGCCGTGTGGATGTGTCGTGCGCTGCAGTAGAAAAATGTGTCGTGCTTAGAATGTGTCG